TCCCTTCATAAGGATACTACTAATTCATTTGTTGTTGTTCAGTTGCTCAGTCATGTCTGACTGTGACCCCATGGACTGCAGCATGCCAGCATGCCAGGCCTCCTCATCCTTTACCATCTCCCAGAGCTTGCTCAAAGTCATGTCCGTTGAGTCAGTGATGCCATCCAACTATCTCATCCTCTGCTGCTTCTTTCTCCTTTTGCCTTCAGTCTTTTCCAGCATCAGGGTCTTTTCCAAAGAGTCGATTCTTCATATCAGATGGAGCCAAAGTATTGGAGTTTCAGTTTTAGCATCAGTCCTTTCAATGAATATTCAGGGTTGGTTGCCTCTAGGATTGATCATCCTCCCCATGAAAATAGTGCTGTACTATATTTTTTGTCTTTGCCAATCTGATAGTTGGAAAAAAGGTATTTTATTGTAGCTTTATTATTATTTTCTTAATTTTGGTAAAATATATATAACATAAAATTTACCATTTTAACCACTTTCAGGTGTACAATTCAGTGGTCCTGTTTACATTCAGAATGTTGTGTAGCCATCACTGTTAATCCATATCCTGAACTTTTTCTTCACTCCAAACAGAAACTCTGTACCTCTTAAGCAATGACTCCCTGTTTCCCTCTCCCCTAGTCTCTGGTAACCTCTATTCTAAACTTTCTGTCTCTCTGAATTTGCCTGTTATCTAAGTGACGTCATACAGTATTCGACTTTTTAAATGTTTGGTTTATTTCACTTAGCGTGTTTCCAAGGCTCATCCATGTTATAGCATGTGTCAGAATGTTATTCCTTTTTATCACTGAATGATATTTTATTGTCTAAACAAACCACCTTCTGTTTATCCATTCTTCCACTGATAGACCCTTGAGATGTTTCTAGCTTTTGGCGTGAATAATGCTGCTATGAACATGGGTGTATAAATTTCTGTTTGAATCCTTGCTTGCAATTTTTTGGGGTGTATGTGTGTGTATATACATATATATATATATATGTATATACACACATATATATGGAATTGCTGAGTCAAATGCTAATCCTACATTTAACTTTTTGATGACCCACCAAACCATTTCCTTGTAGTTTATTAATTTTGGGCTGTGCTGGGTCTTCGATGCTGCATGTGAGCATCTCTAGTTGTGGTGAGCAGGGGCTACTCTCTAGTTGCATTGCTGAGGCTTCTCATTTTGGTGGCTTTTCTTGTTGCACAGCACGAGCTCCAGGGCACACAGGCTTTGGTAGTCGTGGTTCATGGCCTCCAGAGCGTGGGCTCGGTAGTTGTGATTCATGGACTCAGTTGCCCCACAGCATGTGGGGTCTTTCTCGACCAGGGATCGAACCAGTGTCCTTGGCATTGCAAGGCAGACTCTTAACCAGTGGACCACCAGGAAGGCTTTCCTTGTAGTTTGAATTTGCACTTCTCTTACTGTAACTGAGGCTGAGCATCTTGTCACATGATTGGGTACTTTGTCATTCCTTTACGCTGAACTCTGTGGGTTCATAAATCATGCCGTGTCTGGGCTGGGATGCTGTTTTTATTTCCTTAATGCCTTTCCCAGTGGTCTTTTCCTGTTCTCCAAGGGACCCCCATCTGTCCAGTCATGGTCCAGATTGCATACATAGGTGCTATTCTATAAATACTTCTCACAGGACTGCCCCAAAAGAGAAGGTAGCATTTCTCTGGCTTCAGCCAGGCCCTTCAGGAAGCACTGGCTTTCTGCGCCCATCTGTACTTTCTTCTCCACGACCCACCACCACTGTCACCCAGTGTCTTAAAGAGATATCATTATATTCATTCATAAAATATCTCTCCTCAGTCCCCACTGTTTTCCTGGCACCTTCATGACGTGGGTGATCAGTGTGGACCTACCATCTGTGGATGTACTTCCTGAATTCCAGTGGTACCTGTGACATTTGTCCAGCAGAATTTGTCAAACATACGAACCAAAGGTTAATATTCTGTCCCAGAGACAGAAGGAATTGACAGTCTGAGGGAGTGTCAGTCTTTTTTTTTTTCCTCCCTAAATTCATGTAACATAAAATTAATTTTTTAAAAATGTACAATTCAGGGACTTCCCTGGTGGTCTAGTGGCTAAGACTCTGCTCTCCCAATGCAGGGGACCTGGGTTTGATCCCTGGTCAGGGAACTAGATCCCGCATGCTGCAAAAAAGACCTGCTGCAGCCAAATAAATAATTATTAAAATAAAAAATAGTTTTTAAAAATATACAGTTCAGTGGCATTTAGTCCATTCACAGTGTTGGGCAACTATCACCTCTGTCTAGGTCCAAAATATTTTCATCACCCCCAAAGGAGACCCCATACCCACTGGCAGTCACTCCCCATTTCCCCCAACACCTCCCTACTCCTAGGCAACCACTAATCTACTCCCTGTCTGTATGAATTTGCCTGTTCTAAAAACTTCATATATAGAATCATGCACATGTAATCTTTTGTGTCAGGCACCTTCCCCTTAGTGTCATGTTTTTGAGGTTCCTTTTTAGTCATATTCCATTGTGTAGACAGACCAGTTTTTGCTTATCCATTCATCTGTCAGTGGATGTGTAGGTTGTTTTTTTTCCCTTTTGGCTGTTGTGAGTAAAGCTATTTGGGTATATACCTAGGAACAGAATTGTTTGGTCATATGGTAATTCTCTGTTTAATCTTTTGAGGAACCACCAAGCTATTTTATATTAACATTTTTTGTTTTTAATCTCATGTTTGCCTTTCATCTTGCAGGTGCTCGTTGGGGGCTGAATTAGGGGAACATTAGATCATAGGTATGTGGAGCCTGACTCCTCACACAACCGAATCACCCAGGCTCACATACTCTCTGAGCACCTGTTCTTCCTCTGGTGTGACCCCTGACCCCTCACTCCTCAGCTGAGAATTGTTGGCCCGAGATCAGGCCAGGCGACTGGACTCCTGTGTGCATGGTCTTCACATTAACAGACCTGGACAAATCCCTCTCCCTCTCTTGAGCCACAGTCTCCCCATTTACAAAATGAGGTTATAAAGGCAAACCAACAACGTAGAGTGCCTGTGAAATTACCCTGATGTGTGGAAGATATTTTATAAACTGTAAAGTGCTGTCTGAACCATTGCTGTTGTGAAATGATGCAGCCTAGAGGTCACCATGCAGAAGTGTTTCATTTCACCTGCCCAACTTTTTAAAATATTTAAAATAACTGCTGATTTAAACAAACAAACAAAAAAGAGATCTCATTTAACATCCTGGCTTTAGAGCTTCTCTTTAAAAAAAAAAAAGAGAGAGAGAGAGGTGAGCCTAGACAATTCTAGGCTCTAGTCCTTGCTTAACAGTAATTGGCTTGAACTAGAAGCAGCTGCCACCTCTGTAAGGGGTGTGGGTGCTCAATGTTGGGGTTTTCTCATATTTGGTTTCTACAGGAATTGAATTTGGGATTCTTGTTTTGTGTGAGGAGGAGCTTTTAAAATAAGGAAATGTAAAACAAGGGCCTACTGTATAGCACAGGAACTAGATTCAGTATTCTGTGATAAGTCATAGGGCTTCCCAGGTGACAAAGAACCCGCCTGTCAATGCAGGAGACACAGGTTTGATCCCTGGGTCAAGAAGATACCCTGGAGGAGATTATGGTAACCCACTTCAGTATTCTTGCTTGGAAAATTCTCTGGACGGAGGAACCTGACAGGCTGTAGTCCATGGGGGTCTCAAAGAGTTGGACACAACCAAAGTGACTTAGCATGCACAATAGATCATAATGGAAAAGAATATAAAAAAGAATGTATACGATATATAACTGAACCACTTTTGCATACAGCAGTAACTAATGCAACTGCTGTGTAAATCAGCTGTACATTAAAAAAAAAAAAGGCTTACTTTATCTTTCTGGCTTACTTCACTCTGTATAATAGGCTCCAGTTTCATCCATCTCATTAGAACTGATTCAAATGATTTCTTTTTAATGGCTGAGTAATATTCCATGGTGTATATGTACCACAGCTTCCTTATCCATTCGTCTACTGATGGGCATCTAGGTTGCTTCCATGTCCTGGCTATTATAAACAGTGCTGCGATGAACATTGGGGTGCACGTGTCTCTTTCAGATCTGGTTTCCTCGGTGTGTATGCCCAGAAGTGGGATTGTTGGGTCAGTCATATGGCAGTTCTCATGAGTGATGTTGAGCATCTATTCATGTGTTTGTTAGCCATCTGTATGTCTTCTTTGGAGAAATGTCTGTTTAGTTCTTTGGCCCATTTTTTGATTG